ATCAAGACAAGGGCTCGCGTGTCAATTCCAACACAGAATTGCCACCTTCTGGATATTTGTAATTTCATTTGTGAAGTTGGCCTTCGATAATAAAAGGCATACTAGGAGGCAGATTTACTGTGTCAGAATGGCCATAGTACGTGCAATGCCAATAGCTATTTGTTATTAATAGTTATTTGGAATTGGTCCAGAGTCTGCTCAGTGAAAGTTGTACAAAAAGCACAGCAAAAGCTATCATTTGTCAGTGCTCCAGAAAAGGGCAGGAGGCATTAAACAGAGTATTAAGAAGTGAATGAGCATTACAGGATACAAACTGCCTGTATGCCCAGGAAGTGGACATGTCACTTCAAGTCACTTAGGGTGCAGGGAGATCAAACATCTCTCCACCCACGAAGAAAATACAGGTATGCAAGGAATCTCAGACTAATTCCACATGCTTTTTTTCTATAGTGGAGATGTGCATATCTCTGGCACGCCCTCTGTGAAGCACGGAGGCAGCTGCATCTTCCAGAAAGTTTGCTGGAGCTGCTTCAAAGGCTTTCCCTGAATGGTTCCACATGTGAGCGCACGCACAGCTCTTCTGCTTAGTCCTGCAGAATGGTTGTCCTTTCATGCACACACTCAACATAGGAACGGGTTTGAAGCAGCCACGCATGAGCCTTCCAGACCACATCAGTCCTTTGGGAAGGAGTGTTTTGAGAAGCAGCCCTCCAAATATTTAGAGCAGCCCAAGAACAACGTATCTAACTTGAAATGAGGACACTAACCATGTCCAGGTATGGAGCTCCACTGTTCACTGTTTAACCACCTACCTCCTGGGCTTTTTTGGAGAATAACATGGATAAAATGTTCATATTATGTATTTTATTCAATGATAGGTATTTTATTTGTTATTATCTATTTTATTGTAAGGCCAGACTCACATATGCAAGATGGGCAGCTATATAAGTCAAATAAATAAATAAAACCACTATGAGTACTAGTGATTATTACTGTTATTGTTGAGTGCTGTTTTATTTTTGGTTGTTTTTTGTAGACCACCCAGAGTTTCACTGTTGAAGCTGGGTGACCACACGATTTTTTAAAATAAATACATAAGAGCACAGAGGCAGCTGCATCTTCCAGAATTTTTTGAAGGGCTGCTTCACTTAGATTTTTTCCCAGGATTTTTAAAGTGGCCTTTATTTTAACTTATATTGTTTTAGTTTTTGAATGACTACCATGCTGCTCCCTAGCTGATATGGTGTTTTCATTTTGTATTTTGATTGTATAGTTTACATTTTTACTCAGATTGTATTTTTAGTGTGTTTTATTGAGAGAGTTTTGGCTATTGTGTGGTTTAAATTTTTAAATAAATATTTTTTAAAAATGATTTGAGAATTACCCCTTCAAAACACGTCCATTAAGCAAAGGGGCACACTTTCTTATAATGAATGGAATAGACAGAACACTTGTCTAGATTTAGCAACAGCAGCAGGTGAACTGCCTTGACAAAGTATAGGGTTTGTGTTCTGCACACACCTAGGGAAATCAGGTCAGGTATGCGGACTTAGGTTCACTAGAAGAAAGGTAAGTTTTCGACAGAGAACTAGATCAACCGAAATGGCATTGCACTATCCTGCATATACAGCCAATGCCTATAGCAGCTATTCTAACAGAGAGAAGAAATTTGTTGGACCTGTTTTTCCAAGATTATTATTTCTGCTGTTGCAAATCATCACTGTCCTTAGTTTGCAGATATTTAAGGTTTAACTGAATTATCAGAATGTACTTTGAAAAGTACCATTTGATCCATTATTATTTTTTTCTCTGTTGGCACCAATACCTGCACACCCATCTACCGAGTCTCATCCTTCATGAGTCAGGTGCAGCTGGCTCTGATTTTTGCCACAAGATATTTGTTCTGCTAGATCCATGTCTTCTTGCATTTCCATTTAGTAGGACATCACTAGTCAAACTGTCTTACCATGGAGGCAGAAACCAGTTACTTGTTTCTCACTAATCCTGTATGTTCATCCAGTGCCATATTCCAGCCAGTCTTACCTAGCCTGGCACCTTTAGTTGTATTGGGATGGCCACTTGGAATTCTGGGAATTGTAGTCCCAGTACATCTGAAGGGCACCAATGGGGGAAAGCTGCTAAACTCCAAATTGTTTTGCTTAAGTGGAAGACTCCTGAAGACAAAATATATCACTCAGGTCCTATAATACTATTTCAGAATCCATCTCTAATTTGTACTTCTATTAGTTTAGAACAAAAAATATGTCTCTTCTCCTTGGCAAAGAAACAAGTTCTGATACTCTGAGTTTTCTTTCTTTTTTCATAAATATATTCACAGTTCTAGCTCCCAGCTGATAGATAGCCTGCCAACTGCTTACACACTGCTTTTGCAAAAGCTTCAGGACACCTGGAATAGTAAAAGGTCCAGTTAAGTGTTAATTTCTCTCCCAGGTTCCATGTTTACATCACACAATGACTGAGAAAGCTTCCCCCCCAAAAAAGGCGGGGGGGAGTGTCTCCATGTCAAAGCCTTTACTAAGGCAGCAGAGTGAACTTAGACTAAGACTGACATTACTACTGAACCACTGCATTGGGAAAAATAAACAGGCTAAGTATTATTGCACGGACTCCCAAATTTTGGAATACTGTGACTCCCTAAAATGATAAACGAATTTGTGCAACCTCCCTCCCCAACAAATAAAGCTAATTATTTCACTGGGGGATAAAGTTGGGCAGGAAATAAATATGCTACTTACTAAAAGATGGGTAACCTTCATCATATTTTCTTGACTTACTTTTATCAACACTAATGGTAAGATGGTTGTCTGTAGCTTTTCTCTCACCATCTAACATTTTTTTCCCACTTTGAAAGGTTAGACATTTAACGTAAGTGACAGAAATAGTGAACTTTGTTGACCTGCATGGTTTTACAAACACATCAAAGGCTATAAATATACTGACACCTCATGGTAGATGTCACTGCCAACAGGAAATCATCTGCCAATCATCACTGCAGTAACTGGTGAATGGTTTGGACCAATGGCTAGACCCTTGCGTTTAGCCACTTCTCAAAACTCCTAGCTTTACTCTCTGCTTTTCCTAGGCAAGCCAGCAGAAGACTTGCCAACCAAAATGGGACCACTGTCACAACTTGCCCCAAGCTTTGCTCCAAGCCTACACAAGCTTTGCTCTAGGCTTTGCTCACCTTCCCTATGTAACCCCACTGTGACCTTGTGGAGTCAAAGCAGACTAGGTTTTAACAGCATCCCTGCTTTGTCTGTGCAGGTAAAAACGTTTGTGATCCTGCCCATATTGCTTACAATCTCACCAGTGATTTGTGACTCGCAGTTTGAGATCCTCCTTATTATATGCTTAACCTCCATCTTGCTCTTACATTGGTATGTAGTATGATATGAATCAGATTTGGATGAATTCTAAACCCAAAACTGAATCAGGCTGATTCACATAGAATCAGATGTTGCTCAAATTATAGCAGAGCTCCTCCAAAGCAGACTGAATATGAATATGAATCCTTTCAAGCTTTAATGGTGATTCACAACTTGGGGTGGGAGACAAGAAGAGAAAGAGGCAGATATAGACTGTATGCCTGCAAAAAATATGTATGTATGTATGTATGTATGGATGTATGTATGTATGGATGGATGGATGGATGGATGGATGTTTCTAGCTATATAATGAAAATTCCAGGATGGGAAAAATGTTAGTCTGCACAAACCCTTAGTATTTAGTTGCATACTAGTACCTCACTGCCAACATAAAAGATTTCACAATCTTGATAAATTTTACAAATCCATTCTCTCTTACAATTTGCTGCAAGCCAAATGCTAGCAACATTGGATCATGTCAGCACTATATAGCTGGCTTTATGACAACCAAATTTCAGACTCATTCTCCACCCTAATTCTTCCATAGTAACAGGACTTGCAATGCCCGCCTAGCTCATGGTATTTTTTAACGTCCCCAGTATAGAAAGCATTCAGGTTTGCCCTTAGGTTTTCCATGTAAAAGTTCATCTAGTTTGGCATAGGCAACCACAGGAGGTACAAGGGGAGCAATGGATGAAAGGTATGTAAGGGGCAGAGCTTTTAACAAGATGTCATAACATACATTTTGTTATTTTGATGGACTCTCAGCTTGCTACAGATGCTTCTTTGTATTGGAATAGGTCTACTAAGCCTTGGAGAATGACTTCCAAGTCTACTAAACTAGGATCAGGACCAGTTCTAGACCCTAAGATCTTGATGGCTCCTTTTGTAGTGCACGGTTGTGATTAGATATATGCTGGCCATGAGTTCTGGGATTTGCACTCCCCACAGGCCTGGAGGAAACCAGGCTGGAGAAGGCTGACCAAAGGCATTCTTCAATCCAGAAACTCTACTTAAAGGCAGTATTCAAGCTACAATCCTAAGCAAATTTATGAACAATATTCTTAAAATGATACCCTCCATATATGTGGAGCTATACCTCCCAGGATATTAAGACACATGGGGAAGGCTGTGCTAGAGGAGCTTAGAATGTATATGCTTAGTATTTGATGTATTTTGATTTTCTGTCAGCTCGTAGTTTCTGTTTAGATTCTTGTACTCAAGGTAAATCTCAACGTGTGACAGCACCTGGTTAATATTTTCTGAGTTTGGAAGTGAAACAGGGCCAAGCCTTGTTCAGGACTTGGATGGGACAATTCCAGAAAGTACCAGGCTATAGTCTAGACAAGGAAATTGAAAAAATATTCCAAAAGGATGACAATGACAAACCACTTGTTTACTGTTGCCAAGAAAATTACATGGTTGTGTTCATTGAGTCTTAAGTCAAGCTTAATTTGAAGGAAACTTAGCCAACTTCACCTTTTAGGTGAAGAGCTACACATTAAGGTAATTAAACAAGCAGAAATGTTATGGATATATTTCCCTTGATTTCTGGCAGCTTGACATCATTTTTTAGTACCAAAGTTTGTCAATGCCAGACTGAAAATAGTCAGCCTACTGTAGGTAGTTGTGATCAGGACGTCAATAAAGAGGGAACCAAGATATCTCACTAGAATGGTCATGAAAGTGACTCTAAGGTGCGCAGTTTATTCTGAGAATTTGGGACACTCATAGGTTATCACCAAACCTAAAGTCTGAAACAAATCTATGTATGTTTCACTCTGGAATTTGAGTAAAACTCACATATATTCTGAGAGACATTTATCACTTCCCTACCACCTGATCTGTTTCTCTGTGGCCTATATTCACACATCACCATTTGTATTTATAAACATAATAAAATAACTCTCCTTCTGTGTGATTGATTCTGTGACAGGCTTGATGTATAGTCAAGGAAGGTGGGGGGAAATGAGTTCAGAACAAGAAGCATGATGTAATAATGCATTCTTGGAGGGAATATGAAGTGAGAATTCATTATTTAAAAATCCGGTTTTGCAACGAGCATTTCAGGGCCCTTTTCACAGAGTTGATTTGATACAGAGTTGATCCAGAATGATGAAAATTTAGCACAAATAGACAGACGCTGGTTTACTGATGTGCAACATAGCATCTGAAGGAGGAATATAGAGCATGAAAGTGAAGGAAATAGAGAACAGGAAACACAAGAGTTTCATGGCAAGAGTTGAGGGAACAGAAATGTTTGGTTGGATTATGAATATTCATGTTATTTTGTTTCTTCCCCCACACTTTTTGTTGCTGTTGTTTATTCAAACAGATTCTACAAGAGGAACACGGGAGACATTCATGCTACTTGGGGAGAGCAGTGAGAATACATTTCCTTGGCCTAGGGATTCCCCAGACCTTTGAGTCTCCTCCTTTATCCCTACAAGCTGACATGTGGGAACACAAGAGTTCCGTGGCAAGTCTCCGTAGCCCTTAGAAACATGTGGCTTCTTCTCAGAGTTTGTACGAGAGCGAGAGACTGGTGGTTCCATTTGCTTCTTCCTCACATGACACCTCAAGAGTACCTCAGGTGCAGCTTTGTCACTTCCTCGAGTTTTCTCTTGTGCACCACAGAGATCACACGGCAGTCTCTAGATCCTCATGGGGCACTACTGGGTAATTCTGATGACTCTCCAAGTAGGAGGCTAAATCTGGATCCCCAGCCTGCTGGGCCCTGTCTCGAGGTGTCTTACCCTATAATGGTAAGGCAGAAAAAGAAAGAGAGAAATTCTCAGCAATGGAAAATGGGAACCAAAAAACACTGAGCAACATGTTGAGTATGAGGATTTATTTACTTACTTTTTTTTTTTTACTATGAATCCACTGAATTCACTTTTTAAAGTAAATATTGAAAATACACAATATTTAGCATGGCTCCTTTGACAGTCCTGCTGTCCTGGCAAGTGGTCTGATGGGACTTCATATATAAAGCCCCAGTGGAGTTTGGTTTGGTGGATCCCAAGTGGGAAGACCTGTTTTAAATCAACACTGGTCCCTGAAAACAAATCCTTGAATGCTACAATCTGACAATATTTTCTTGGAGCCTTAAACTGATTAGCTATCAAGAACTTCTCTACAGTGGCTTCCAAATTAAAGCAAAAACAACTTCATCTGTATAGGCACTACATGAAATCCCATTATTCCATTCTTAAGTGGCATTTCAAGATCATATAACTCTTTTAAGGTGCTGATTTCCAGCTGGCTACATTGCTCATACACTGTGATTTTACATTACTTCCTGTATATTATTGTACATTTCACAGTTTTGACTGCTATTAAAAGCCAACTTGAAATTGCTGATAGCAAATGATAAGCAATAGATAAATGAAATCAGTGGGGCTTCCACTGTGTGTCCCAAGAGAACACAGCGGAAGTGTGCTGAAAAACAAGCAAACATAGAGACTCTCGACGTATTTGCGAAGGCATTGCCTGAGTTGGCTACATGTCGATTTCACTTGCTCAGAGCACTGTTGAAATGGATTTGTTTTGTTTGGTTTGGTTACCTTGGAGTCCATTTTCCTCAACGACGCTCCTGCCTCTACGAGCAGCTGGCAGATGCCATGGTGGCGTTGGCAAGCTGCCTTGTGCAATGCTGTCTCACCCCTGTGTGTTTAATGGAAAAAATTATCAATATAATGAATTACATTCAACAGGACATAATTTTTAGGGTTGCTGACACAGACGCATTTTCTTAATTTGTCCTCTAGGTCTTTAGTACAGCAGTATATGGTCTTAAGAGTGTTCAGAGGTTTAAAGCAATGTGCTTAAAAATGTTAAGTTGTTATCCAGATTGAAGTCCCATTTTAAATCAGTTACAAGGTGGGTTTTTCCTCCCACCCCACTGCCCATTTGGATGAATTCCTTTGCTGAGTGAATTTCCTTCTCTTTCATTTCCATGTTTCTTCCTGAATCTGAACAATAAAATTCTTTGCCTTCATACAGCAGAGTATGTTTGAATATGTGTGCTTTAAAATCTTTAAAGCAGACATCAATATTTATGTTGTGAAATTCCCTAGATTTTGGAATTGAGTATCATGTCATCCCTGAAGATGTATATACCATAAAAGCTGGGTGATAACAATTAAATAAATATGAAGAGGTCACTTTAAGCCTTTTTTTTTTTTTTTTTGCTTGGGCTTGAACCAAAGCAATGATTTAGCAATGAGTGCAAGTACAAGCTGTGATTCTCACAGGCTGCCTAATGATGGATCTTTATATCCTTATTGTATTTCCTTCACAAGGAAGAAAGGGAAGAAACGAATTCTATTCCGAAGCTAAGAGATACAAATATAGATTAACTAGAACTCAACAACTCAGT